AAAGAAAAAGCTTCCTGGCCCAGAGACAAGACAGAATTAGCTGAATTTGATGTCTGTATGGCACAGGAGTATATGGGATTTTGCATGAAAGTTTGACTACTCTAACATATCACTAGTAGAAAACATACCTAAATTATAAACTTTTGAATACAGTATAGATCTTCAATTATTGCTTGATATATATGTTGTAGAATGCATTCAAAACCAAACCTGCTGCTGTAATCCATTAACATTAGTGCTGGCCATGCGGTCTTTATCAAAAGAGGATTACTACAATATAGTAAAGTTCTACATGAACATCAGAACTTCCCCTGAGCCCCTTTCAGCAGAGACCACATTACCAGCCATTGGTGGCAGCACAGCGATAGGATTTTGAAACCGATACATTTGAGACATTCAGCCACATATTCTTACAATATTAACAAACATAACTTGGCTTTAATGAAAACTTCAAGCAATAAATCATAGAAAACCAACTACCCCAACCATTGTGCCTTAAAAAGGAATTAAATTTGTCAGAACAGAAGGGAACGCTGCCATAGCAGACTCATTTTTGAAGGTGGAGCTTCCAGGGCGGTCATACTCGTCTTTGCTTTACTTCTTTGTAGTGTTGTAAAGGACTTGACACACACAGACAGGTATATCAAACATTCTGAAGATCCCAAACACACAAAGTTTAGTAAGCGAGTTGCCAAGCAGTAAAGGACCTGGAATGTGCACCTCCAAAAACCAAGTCTGAAATGAGGTTTGCCATTTTTAGATGCCAACAGGTTTATTTGCAAGTGGCAACTCACAAATTTGCAGACAGTGAAAGCAAAACATGGAAAAGGAAATAAACTGCATAGTGGTCCATGCAATACAAGACTAGACAAATTCATGTTCAGTTCAGGAGCCTGTAGAATAACGCTTCTGCTGACATGAACAGTAATGGTTTCAAATGTAACCCAACAAGCTTCAGGGATCTATAGAGCTCTAGACACAAAGGCTGTGAACCGGTTTAACCAAGTTTCCTACATTTTGAAGGCTTTACATGATCCCAGTGTATATAGGAAGAAGCCAAACGTCATTTCTATAGGACCTAGCTATTGTGGTATTTAAAGGATAAGTCTCTCAAATCAGCCATTTTTGGGTTTTGACTGTGGAGTTCACACAGACATTGCTGGCTGAGGGTCTTCGGAGAGAAAAGGTGACCAGACTGGTTCGAAAACCACGTGTGATTACTATGGTTTGTCCCCCAATATGCTGATGCTGTAAGCCAATGTAGCAGAACACAGCAAATAAATGTCATCTCCGCACTAGTAAGTTATATCTTGGTTCCTTAAGGAAATCTGTCATTGCAGAAGTCAAGTTAGTGAAATTTAATAAAAAAAAAGGGTCCACATTTATTAAGGAAACTTCATATCAGTGTTAACAGAACACTCTCGGAAGGTGCAGGATGCCTTCACTTACAGTGTGATTGACAGACTTTTTAAAAGTAATATCACCAGGCGGCCATATTAGCGGTTGCCAAAAACTACAATGATGTGACCCTTAAAGCACCAGCAAGTTTTAATGCTGGAGCCATGTGCATCAGAACTCCTAGTTCATTTAAAGATGAACTCCAAGATCAAACTGGAAAGCACTCCAACTACAGCAATTATGTAAACAAATTGGGACAGCTACAAAATGCCAATACTTTGGACAGGGACAGAACTCCTAACAATCCAAATAAAAATCACTGATTAAAAAAGTGTTTACCGATTTGGAAACTTCACACTTTCTGGCTTGGCTCTTAACAACTGCAATCTCATAAACTGGAAACATAAATGGCTTTTTTGAAGTGTAAATCCCAGTAGAACTTCAGATTTTGGTGTAGCACAGAACATTTTCAAGGGTTATAAAAACATGTGATTAGAGGTTACACCTCTTGCAAAGTGCAAACAAAACTTTATTATAGATCTAAAATGCCAAAATCATGAGCAGGGAATAATAATAAAAAAACAAACAAAAAAAAAAAAAAAAAAAACACCATACAAACACACTGTGGTTAAACACAATAAAAAAAAAATCAACAATGGATGGCTTATATTTTAAATACAAACAGTCTTCTGGGTACTCTTGCCCTCTAGATTCCTTCAAAAGCAGGTATACACATCACTAGATTATATATTGATAGGTTTTGAAGTTGGTCATGAAACACTGGTGCAAAAATGGGTCACGTTATAATGCCACAAGTGTGATTTATATCCTTTTCCTACACGGTTATTAGCATGCCCTTTGCAAACCAAGTTCCAAAAAAACCCTGCCGTTTCACTCCGCATCCTTCAAAAAACATTCCTCAAAAAAATTATATGGTGCTTCATTACAGAGAATACACAGAAGACTGCAACTCTGTACAAAGATCCTAGTTGTGTTTTTAAAAGCAGCATGTCGTGCCATTACAAAAAAGAAAAAACACACATATGAACAAACTAGTCTGATATAATCCAGCTTAATAAAGTGACCTTCATGTTTAAAAAAGGAACATTGCAGAATTTCTTGGCCCAGATACATATTTTAATACCAGTCTCTGCTCCAAAAACTTCATTCCAGCTAACTTGTCCCATACAACAGGTACAAGTCCTTCCAATATGCTAATCTGACACTGACCTATGATACAGTTAAGTCAGAAAATCAGAGTTGGGAGAAGGAGTTGGGATGGCAGCACAAGAAAATTGGTCAAGAGGCAACTTGCAGTTGCTGCATGATATAAATTAGCTGGTATCTGGGGATTTTAACAGAAAGGCAGGGAAACCATTTACATTAAAACAACCCAACCCCCCCCCCCCCCCCCCCCATGGGTGAAAAAAGGATCCATGGCGTGAAGCCTTGGTCCATGGATCATCTCTATAGTAAGGTCTGCAAGCATGACAATGCAAGATAGGCATGCCATTAGTGTTTTCTACACAAAGTGATTTTGAACAAAACAGTTGCCAACTGTAGCTCAGGCATCAATGATACCTTCACACAGGAAGACATAACATTGCAAAGTTGCTTGCTTGAATAGGTCCTCTTAATAAAGGCCGCCATTCTTTTGCTATCTCCTTAAAATGCTAGTTGCTTAGCTGTCAGAACAGTGAACTAAATTTCCACTTGTTGCTTTAGTTTACAGCCTTGTTGAATAGCAGTAAATCTATTGATGTAAAGGTTGTCCACAAGAGATGCTTGATGAAAACCACTCAGACCCATTTCACAATGACAACCAGCTATCGGCACAAGATTGTTAAAACAATCAGAAGGGAGGGGTGGGGTGTAATGGACGTGTCAATATATAATAATGGACCTTGTTTGTAGATGTGTTTTTCTGCAATGGTTTGGCAATGTGACCAGTACCTACCATTAGCAAGCAGAAGGACCCATTTTTGTTAGATCTTTTTGCAAATTAATGCATGCATATTTCTACGACTCCTATCATTCATGACAAGATGAATATGGCTGAGGGGAAGTATTATGTTGAACATTACTTATCACACTCAAATATTTTGAATACTATGGTATGACTGTTTGATCCTTTCATGAAACCCACTGATCGTAATCAACTCCTTTCCTACCAGAGCTTTCATCCCGCTATTTGTTTTAAGACCTATTTTCTGCAATCAAACATCCCAGGTGGACAGAATAGTTGGCATGTGTGTTTTTTTTTGTCTCCTTGTTGCTAATTAGAAAAGGTGTAAAAAATGTGAAAATAGGGGATATCCACATGTACTTTCAGAACTAGAAATTAGAAGGGATAAATCTAGGAAAGCTGAGCATCTACTCGGTTTGTCTGCCAGTATCACACCTTTTTATTTCAAAGTAAATTTATGATAAAACAATGCAATTAGAGTTCTATAAAAATACAGGCATTTCATAGGAAAGACCTTGGACTATTCGACTGGGGCAGACTGTCCCAGTCAAAACACAACCCATTACATTCCTTGGCACTCATAAGAATGGTTCTTATCTTTGCCTGACCTATTCTGAATGCCCAGGTATGGATAACAGACCCATTTTGACTTATGTAGGCTCCATACAGCTTTCTCTCACTTTTTGATGTACCATATTCATAGCATATTGGATGGAATGCCCATGTAGCTTAAAATATATGTTGGCGTAAGCACAAAAAAGGTGAGAGCTAGAACCTTGCAGCATTCAATCCAAGATGTGCTAAGAGCTGCCTATGTGATTCCAGAGAACAATTGATCATATTCAAACCCCATAGGAGGTAGGGATTGCATACAGTTCCTAAAAAAAGGAATAGATTTTTGGATACATACTCTGTACACTTGGACCCAGAAAAATAGGATTAGATTTTGTATTAATTGAGTGGTTACTATAATAACCTTAATTGTTTTTTTTAGTTTGACTTCTGATCATGATATGTGGTTTGTTGATACTTCTCTCTCTATGCATCCTTTATCTTTAAGAGGGTCATGTGTTGTCTAGATGTTATAATGCTTACGGCCTTGTTTCCTGCCTGATCCCTATATGTATACTGCGCTCTTCATTTTTAATTGGCTTGATAAAGATCATGGATTGCTCAAAATTGTCACTTTGCTACAATGTGTGTTGAAGATCTATAAAAAAATTAAATAATTCTACTGCAACCCATCATTTGTACTTCTAAATCAATCTGTAGCTCGCACATTCTTTTACGTGGAAATTAGGCAACATGACAAGCCTGTGAATCCATTAAAATGGAAGTACTATCCAATTAAACACACATATGTGCATATTTAAAAGCTTCTGGAAATCCTGTTCATACATGTAATTTTTAAACCATAACTTAAGACTGAATGCGTCAGAAACAAAAAAAAAAATATAAGGAACAACCATAAACATTAACAGACTTCAGGCTAAGAAAAGACTCTGGTTACAGAAAGCTGACAAAGTCTTTGGAAACATTCTGTGTGACAAAGACATGTACTCCTAGCACAAGCCCTCACATTAGCAGTGCAAAAATGAGAAATCCTTCAGCAAGGCCTAATGCCTGCACTCCTCGTCTAACAGTTTAAACTAGAGTCTTGTAACTGTGACCAAATCTTAATCATTTCTTGAGGCTTCCTGGGATGGACTAAAATTAGGTTAGAATAGGAGCAAATGTTATTCCTATGTTTCTCCTCTATATCAAATGTCTTGAACCCTTTGTGTTTCTCTGGAGCTAACCCAAGTTTTGCAAGGCACATTCCAGTATATACATCATCTATAGGATAAAGAAGGACCCTAGATGTTGCATTGTATAGTCTTAACGCCAGACTGCCAGAATAGAGGAAGCCTCCACCACCAGCATATGGAGGGTAGGAGCCTTCATAAAGGCTCTCAGGAATGTAGTACTTCAGTTTCTTGTCCCTATGAGGTCCAGCATCTTTGATCACATCCCCGATAAATAAATCTTTGGCTTTTTCTGCCGATAACGTCTTCAAGTAATCCAGGATCTGATGGGTATTTACAAAAACGTCATCATCTCCTTTAAAAATGAACTGGACATCTGCGCAGGAATGGCTTACCCACTTCAGAAAGAGAACTTCTTTAAGAGTCAAGTTAAAGAAAGTATCCCTATAGTTCCAAAGGAGGATATCATTGTACAGATCACTTTCATATTTAATCAGATTTGAAAGATCTGGGTGATTGTCCTCAGTTGGAGTCTGTCCAAGAAGGAACACCCTTACAACAGTCATGTTGTTTATTTTTATCTCTTTCCCCCAAGATTCCCGTATGGCTTGTCTTCTATCAAACTGTGGTGTTAGAGACTTTATGGCCAGTAGCAAAAAGGGCTTATCTTTACACTTATCCGGCTGGTCCAAAACCAGGGAATAATTCTTACATCTTAAATAAAGAAGGAAATCCTTAAATCTGTCTGGCAAGCTGGCAAAGTCTTTTACTTCAGAAGGTATATTTGTGTCCATTTCACAGGAGTTCAGCAGACTTGCATTGAAAGCCACCATTTCTTCCACTGTAACATTGTTGAGCAGGTTGAGTATTGGATTGTGCAATCTGTCCAACTTTTGTTGCTCCCTATTCCAATATGCATTGCTTGCTTTGTATTTCTTCCAGAATTTGCTACGTGGCACGAGAACTTGTCCTTTTCCATTTTTGTCTTGGTTGTCGCTCTTTGAAACTTCAACAATGACATAGATGAAGAAATTTACCATCATTAAGATCCCCACCAATTTTAATCTTCTCCTTCCTTCCAACACTCATTTCTCATACCTGCCAAGAAAGGGAAAAAAAAAAAGTTAATAAAAAAAGGAGGGGGTTTGGTGGTTTCTATTTACAGACAGATTAAAATCTACAAACGCATGGGTTGTGAGATGCAAGCAATAGATAGATATCTAAATATAGATTAAATATACTATATATTAAAATAGGAGTATGGGCTTTGAATAAAAAAAAAAAGCCACACACATTTATACTCAACCTAGGCGGATGCAGCATTCATCTGATACTGCATCTGTTCTCTGCCAGTTCAGCAGTGAGAACTGAACAATTAAACACTGATGATAGCTCAGTTCTCCCCTCTGCTCTGAGCGGAGATTTGGGATGTTCAGTCTTGGGCTCTCTGCTCTGCCCCTCCAGGGCTCACTGGAGCGCTGGGCTGAGGATGTGGAAGAGGCTGGCTCAGGCTCTCAGCGGATCGCCGAGAGGCTGAACCAGGTGTCAATAAAAGCTTCTGGGTGGTTCCTGACCATATGGTCAGGATCTTTTCAGAGCCAAGACCAGGTCTGTGACCTCAGACAGGGGGCTTTAGCCCACTTTCGGTAGAGAACGGGTCACAGGAGTGCAGAACTGAACTGTGAGCCATAGGCAAAGTATAGACAAAATTGCTTTAGCTATTCACCTCCTTTACATATTACAGGTCTCACATCAAAGTCTATTGCAGGTCCAAAGCCAAACATTTCAGGTCACCAGTAACAACTAGATTGCAATGATGTAATCAGTGAATGAGAGGAATACATTTGAGTGTGATGGGTTAAAATGACAAGAGTACACCATCCCTACAATATATAAATGCAGCTATGTATTAGTAAAAGAAGTACTGTTGAATAGAGGGGAAATTCTGCAAACCAACTGTCGTTTTGCAACAACTACATTTGTAATACAGCAACTAGACAGCGAGTCAATGCTTACAGGAAGAAACAGAATACTTTAATTTGTAACCAATAATTAGCTACTGAAAGCCAAAACTGACACAATGATTGAAAGCACACAATTGTGCTACTCTTATAACAGGTAGTCCAAAAAAAAAAAAAAAAAAAGAAGCCAACAGTCACTCCTTGGGGATCATTTTAACGTCAAGAAACGCTTTCCTTCAGAAACAAATGAAAGGCTTAGGACACCTCCTGTGTACAAGGGATTTTGTTCAATAACGATTAATGGACAGTTGTCCTATATATCTGCCATGGTCACCGAGGTTCAGAGAGTAAGATACATGGGTTAGGCTGGATACTTTGGTACAATTTCTAGGTCGTTACCATTATGGGACCCCTGTCTGATTTCTACCTCAGTGATCCAAGATATTATGGCTTTCAGAGCAGATGTAGAGGTTTTTGGAAACACAATCATTTCCCTGTCAGCATTGTTACTAGCATAAAACACTGCTGAGCATCCATTGTGGTGTTGGATCCTACAGGAAGTTGCATGGCCTGCTATGGTTTTATGGTAGTTTCTCCACTGGAGAGCAATGAATGCACTCTAATGTTAAACAACAACTTCATGAATAGTGAAGATGTCCATTTAATAGGCTCCATGTACACTGCAGCTGATAAACTCACATTTAGGAGCCTTTCTGCGGTTTTCTCAGCAGCCCCTGAACTCTCCCTAATGTTTTCCTATGTGTCCATGTACACTATATCTTTTACAGGCAGTTGAGCTTACAGTCGTTTTTTTGAACGCACCAAACTTGTGTTCAGGAATAGATCTTCAAACGCCAAAACACATGTAAACGCGGCTGACTGCGTTTATAAGCGTTTTGAAATTTTATTTTAACTTTTCCATTTCCAGATGCTGTCCAGAGCCTTTTTTCATCATGAAAAAGGCTTGAAAAGCGTTTTCCCAGCACTCAAATGGACCTGGTACACCATACTTTGAGGTTTCCCATGAAAGAAAATATATGTTAGACACTGCTGCAATAATTTCTGCCCAGAAAAGAGCTGGAACACATCCCAGCACCACAAAAAAAAAAAAAAAAACAAAAAAAACAAAAAACAAAAAAACACCACCACGAGCTTCTGCTCCATATCTCTCAAAATAAAATGTCTGATAGTTAATTTTTGTGCATACTGAACAATTTAGAAGGTCTCCTGAGGTTATCTTTAAATAAAGATTCTAAAAACGCAAACGTTCATAAACGCAGTATGCAAACGCACTCAGTTTTCCAGCAGTCAGTTTCCATCGTTCAGAAGTGTCCTGTGTACATGGGGCCATAAAACTATTCCACCTTCTCCACAACTGCAGCCCATCTAGAACAGTACGAAGCTTCTTCCCTGATCCAGTGATCTGTCATCTAACAAGCTCCTGGATGGCTCCTCTTCATATTCCACATGTGCATCACTGCCCCATTTATTTTTTTGATTGTCTTCTTGCTCACAGATTTCCTGCATTACCTATACAACTTAAATTCCTCAAGCACACCCCCTTCACTACCTTTCCAGTACGTTACCTGTCCATGCACAGAACAAATCATTGCCTACAGAGGTCTTCTGCACACTTGGGCGACAAAACACTGCTTTTAATGGGCATTTAACTTCTGTCTGCCTTTCATCTCCCCTACTTGTTAAAGCATTTCTAAACCCACAACAGTAAAATCAGTCTGTATATGCAGCAAAGCATGCTTGTTATACTCACTGTGGATCCTAAGGGGTTAATACTCTGCATTGTGTAAAAAGGGTTTTTGATCCTGTCTTCTCTGCGCCTCCCCTTCTTCCAGTGTTCCCCTCTTATCTCCTGACAAATATTGTATGAAAATACTCAGCACATGCTCAGTTTGGTGTGTATTGCTAGAGAGGATTTTTTTTTCCCCTCGAGTGTGCATGTGATTAGCACAGGGCCAATCAATACTGTCCAGACAGAAGATAGGGGTTCTACATCCTCCTAGAGCAGAAAGAAAACTCCTCCTACAAACCAACATGTGCTCTGCTGAACACTGACAGAAGTCACAGGACTGCTCTAACTGCTGATGAAAAAAAGATATTTAGCAGTTTATATTTACTAAAATAAGTGCATTTCTGTGTACTGTGGAAGGCCAGATATAGTAAATGCAGGGTTGTGTTTAGTAATACTTTAACCTATGGGGTCGATTTACTAAAATTGGAGAGTGCAAAATCTGGTGCAGCCCTGCATAGAAACCAACTTGTTCAAGTGAGTTTTGTAAAAAAAAAAAAAAAAAAAAAAAAAAAAAAAAAAAAAAAAAAAAAAAATGTTGAATCGCCAGTTTTAATAAATCAACCCCTATGTCAGGGGTGTCCAACCTGTGGCCCTCGGTGCCCTCTGGTATGGCCCTTCACCTCAAAACTGCATACAGGCGTTTTAGTGCACTACACCTGCAAGATATAATAGAAATAGAAATCTATGGCAAAGTGCAGCTAACCTGAGGTGCACTGCGCTGCACTTGCGGTACGAGTAAACTTCAGTGCATCAGTGTGAAAGCAGCTTTAATGGGGGCTCAGGACAGCAAGTTCTCATTTACATTTGGTAAAACCCCATAGTCGAGACGTTTTTTTACCTCACACCCCCCCAACCACTGGTGTAGCGTCAAGGGTGGCATTGTGACTCCCACCCCCCCCCCCCCCCCGAACCCAACCCTCCTGTGGCAATGGTGACCCTGCCCCATGCTCCACAGGACTTGTGCAGACTCCCTGTCACATTCTGTTTTATACTTGCACAGGAAGGGAGGCATATACAGGATCCGATCCTCTCCATCTCCATTTTCCTCCTGCATTTAGTGGCCTTCTTTACTCCCGATCACTGGCATTTAGTTGCTCTTCGGCAACATGAGAAAAACACACACACACACACGTACGTTCAGGGGAGGAGCAGAAAAAATGCCGACATGCCTGAACACTAGGTGTGTTTAGCACTTTAGCGTTCCTTCATTCCAATTAATAGTTATTCTGGCCAATGGAATGAATGCCTAAAATGCACTTAGATGAATTTGCAAATCGCAGCTTCAGGCGCATTTTGTTCTTGCTGCTTTTCTCCTCCCAGAATTAAAGGTGTTCAGAAGAGCTGGGCCAAAGCCCAGTGTTCATGAGGCCCAAGTACACCACCTCATCCAAAATGGTCCTGGCACCCACAGAAGCAGACTCACCAAATCTGCTGGGGGGAAGAGAACCAGCGATCATGTGACCATTGATGGGTCTCTAATGAGAGTGCACATGGAGAGCACTCAGCACAGAAATATTGGCTGCCCAGTGATGCATGTGTATAGAGTGTGGGCTTTAAAGCATACCCTTTTGCCGCTGCACATGTGTTACGTGGGCATCAATAAGTTAAAATGGCTAAAAACACAGTCCTCAACAAAAATCAGGTATTATAAATACAGTAGATATAAAAAAAGTCTACACACCCCTGGTAAAATGTCAGGTTTCTGTAACGTAACAGAACTTTTTCCACCTTTAAATGTGACATAAAACTGTACAGCTCAACTGAAAAACATAAGTAAACATAAAAAACTAAAATAATGTGGTTGCATAAATGTGCACACCCTCTTGTAGCTGTGGATGTAGCTGTGTTTAGAATTAAGCACTCACATCAAAATCATGTTAAATAGGAGTCAGTACACACCTGCCATCATTTAAAGTGCCTCTGATTAACCCCACATAAAGTTCAGCTGTTCTAGTAGGTCTTTCCTGACATTTTCTTAGTCGCATCCTACAGCAAAAGCCATGGTCAGCAGAGGGCTTCCAAAGAATCAGAGGGATCTCATTGTTAAAAAGGTATCAGTCAGGAGAAAGGTACAAAAGAATTTCCAAGGCATTAGATATAACATGGAACACAGTGAAGACAGTCAACATCAAGTGGAGAAACTATGGCGCAACAGTGACATTACCAAGAACTGGACGTCCCAAAATTGATGAAAAGACGAGAGGAAAAACTGGTCTGAAAGGCTGCCAAGAGGCCTACAGCAACATTAAAAGGAGCTGCAGGAATATCTGGCAAGTACTGGCTGTGTGATACATGTGACAACAATCTCCTGTATTCTT